CTATGTGTGCCAGTGTACGTCCTCTGGTCTAGTCGGATTTGTAAGGTAGAATTGGGATCATGATAGTGGGGGGGAGGAAACATTCAAGAACTAGAAGAAGGTTGTATGCTTCATTGTTGCTACATTGCACCCTGGCTGGCTCGTCTCATAAATCCTCTTAAAGACAATTTAACCATGGGGGAGCAGGAATGGTTTAAAATTGATGAGGAGTGATTGTACAATTCTCCTTGATATGATTGACTGATTGAACTATTGAATTATATAATATGTAAATTACACACCAATAAAACTGTGGAGGAAAAAAAAGACAGCTTTTCATTGTTGCTATTATCCCCATAAATATCATTACATATTTAATGATAGTAGGAAAACTTGGCAGTGAGGATATCCTTATAGCTTATGGAGTTAACAAAATTAAGAGTCCTTTGAAGTCCCATGATTAGAAATAAAGCCACAAAAGTAGGGAGTGGGGACGGCAGTCTTGAGAGCCATCCTTGGACCAAGAATGAGAATATTTGCCTGGCCTCATGCTATGACCCTCACCTTTTGCTGTGACCCAGGCTGATTTTGAAAGGCCTGCCCCTCACAATCTTTCCACTTTGATTCTCAGAGCTACCTTCACTTCATTCCTGGTACTAGTACTGCCTACCCACAAACCATTAACTGTCTATATTGCTACCATCCAGAACACCTTGAGAGTAATCCCTTACCTAAGCTCAGACCTCCACGTTGGTTTCTCAGGGAGTGGGGCTCAGGTATAAACATTTTTTTAAGTAATTCTTTTTCATGTCGAGCTTGAGAGCCTCCAGCACAGACATTAGCTCCTTTTCTGTGCAACCAGAGGCAAAACTGGATGTTTTAGGAGCTATTTCACACTTGCAACCCATTTATTGCTTATAGTTCACTAAACTCCAAGTTTACTTTTTCAGAAACTTCCCTTCCCCTAGTCCTTCTCACCTGTATTTTCCAGGTCTAATTTAGCCTTTAGAACCTGGTTTTATTTTATTGCATTGAAAATCGCCTCTAGAGGCAGGTCCGCCCAGACCACACAGGAGCAAACTAAGAGGGAAAGAGAGAGAGAGTGGACTGCATCTGGCCCACCGAACCTCGAGGATGACATTCCTGCTTGGAGCAGCCAATGCACAGAGAAGACTGTTGGGCTGGTCCCACCATGACACCCCCTCCCTGACCCACAGGACTACAAGGGTCAGTACTGGAGACACAGTGTGGGAAGTGTGCCTGGTCTAACACACACACTCCTCCAAAACTGGAATGAAAAACAAAGGGAGTGCAACAGAGCAGCAAGGGAGTAAAGCAATGAAGTACACAAGGAATCCCGAAAACAGACCTCAGAATCATGGGTAGGGCGTGGCATGTCACCAGATCCAATTGGAATACATTCATAAGGGTCAGCAGACAGACCTGGCAGGCTTTTTTCCCCTCTCTTTTTTCCTTTCTTCTTTCTCTCACGTCTATCCATACAGGATAGGCAGGATAGCCAATCCCGAGGAGAAAGCACCAGCACAAGACTTTCAGAGTCTAGACTCTATTCTTTCTGATAGCCAAGCACCATCTAGTTTCTCCACCACACTGTTAGCACCCATATCTTCAGTGATCTCTTCATGAGGTCGAACATCAAGCAGGGTCATGTGTCAAAAAAACTAATTGTTCTTAGATTGGGGCTAGAATTAAGTGCAAGCTCAAAATCCATTCACATATCTATGGTTTATATGTGTCTCTGGTTATCTTAGACTAGAGACATCATTGTTTTATGTTAGAAAACAGTATCAATCATCCCCCTAGGGCATCATTTCCACTGCCATCAAGTCAATGCTGACTCATAGCAACCCTATCGGGTAAGGTAGAACTGCCCCATGAGTCACTGAGCCCACAAATATTCACAAGAGTAGAGTTCAAATTTTTTTTCTGATTCATTTATTTCTGCCCTACTCTTTATTTCTTTTCTTCTTATACCTGATTATTTGTTTTGCTGTACTTTTTTCTTATCATTGTAGCTGATGTGTAATGGTGTTTATTTTAATTCTTTCAGCCTTATTGATGTGTGCAGTAATTGCTATAAACTGCCTCTGTCTATTGTTTTTCCCTTGTCACACAGGATTGTTTTATTTTTAATTAAAGATCATTTTATTGGGGGCTCTTACAGCTCTTATCAAAATCCATACATCAATGTATCAAGCATATTTGTACATATGTTGTCATCATTATTTTCTAAACATTTACTTTCTATTGAGCCTAGGATATCAGCTCCTCCTTTTTCCCTCCCTCCCTCTC